GGAAAAAAACGATGCTATCCAAACACTTAGCTGTTTGGTTGGGCTTATCTAAATATAAAATAGATGGTATCCAGAGAAATAGATGAACTATATGTCCTCCGTACGGTCTCCCATAAATATTTATTTATTTATTTTTACAGCTGATTTTTTAATAAGTATCAGGTAGCCAGAAGTTCAAGATTTTACACTCATTGATATTGTCAAGCACCAGGAATGGTACTATTTTTTATTAGTTAAACCAGAGCCATAATCATAACTAAGCCAAAATTAGGATTGCCATCCACTTATGAAAGTTGAGTGGTCCAATAAGTATAAAAGCCTAGTATAAGGCTAATTCGTGTTCATACTGAAGCCTTTTGGAGAATAGGCCTTAAAATATATAGAACGTATTTAAAGAGGTTTTGATTGTACTAGCCAAAAGGAGCCTGGTAGAAATGCTTGTGTTAAGAGTTCATTTTTTAAAAAGCTGGATTTACCGACAAATTGCTATTGAGCATTTGATATATTCAGCAGACATAGGTTGTAATTTACCTTGCAGACTTTCTTAAGGCTACTTTCTTTCTAAATTATACTTTATGGGGGTTATAAATTAGCAATTTTTTAATAATCATCTTTAATGATTAAGTATTATTTAAGTCAGATCACTCAACTATGAATGAATGAATATTCATGGAAATCTGCAGGTCATCTGTTACATAGCAAGCAGTGCTATGCTAGGTCGAGTTATTTTAAATAACAATCTTTTTTGTAAGTAGAGAACTTACACAAGCAGTCATTGCTATTCTCCACATTAATGCTCAGAAAAAATGTTATTAAAATGATCTTTCCAAAATGAATTATGAAGCCCCATGAGAATGACATGGCTATTTGTGGTTACACATTTTACTAGAGGGTTAATAGTTTTAAAAGATGCAGTTATGTAATGAGTTACAACAATACATTTTAATCCCAAGTTTTAAATTAGTGTGAACTTTGAATTCTTCTGGATAGATTCCTTCATTTTCTAAATAACAAAGCTAGGACTGCGACTTACCCAGTTATAAGGTTAATGGCAAATACCACGTTGTCATATATTTTAAATGGTGTACATTACAACATGTTCTCTGTAAAAATCATATAAATAACTTCCCCATAGATTATTAAAAGTGTTAGACTAGGGATTCTTAAAAAACTTTTTTCATCAAATTCTTCGATTATTAATCCTGCGAAGTCCATGTAATAGAAGATTTTGTCTACAACAATATAGTTGCTTTTTTAATTAGAAACATAACCACCGGTTATAGTTCCTAATCAGTGTAAGTAAGTAGTTGTTAGGAGAGGGGATGTGTTTCTAGTCCAAATGAAGATTTCCTTTTGAATTTTTGAAGTAATGGAAATAACCCAGACTTTACAGGCCCCAGAAATTTGGGAACCTCAGCTTTAAAAGTACTATACCAGTCTTAAACAGTTTTCCTGGACATGTGAATTGATGCCTTCTTCTTCTCTAACAAGCAGGAATATTCTGTTTGTCTTCATTGAGTGTTTAAAAATAATCATGCCTATTTCAAGGAAAAAATCTGTGGGGCTAAGATTCAGAAAAAATAAGTGCTAGATTCAATCATATACCTTTGTCTTTCTCTTTGGATCAACCTTTCAACAAGCATAAAAGATGTACCTTTTTTCTTGTGCTGAATCTAAGATTAACTGTAGTTTTGAGAATCTTGAATATAGTCTCTTGTTCACCTTTTTTTTCCTTTTCTGGTTTCCCCTAAACCCTAGATTCATTTAAAAGCTGAACTTCTAAAGGGCACTTATATAGTGTAATTGTTTAATAAAAAGCAAACCTTTTCATGAGCAATATATATTGCATAATAAGAAGTATTCCTTTACTTTTCAGTACTATACTGAATAGCTTTTTACAGTAGAATCTCACTTAGAGGATATCTTAAAACTTAACACAAAGTGTTTATGCAACATGTTATAAAACAGTTCTATTAAGGCACATTTGGATCTTTGGATATGTGACTTGCACACTGCATCAGTAAGTTGGCAGCTTGCTTTCTTTAAAAACATCAAAAGTTTTAAAAGGTTTATTTCAGTGCATGTGTTAGTGTTTTGTGTGTGGTTCTTTGTTCCTGTTCTAAACTGTTATTAACCACTGAAGGGAACCTTCTCCCGGGTTTGGCCTTTTGGTATTCACAGTGTATTCAAAACCTAATTACAGATTAGTCTATATTTGAGACTTTTAGAGCAAGTATCAGAAGACCCAAAAAGAAAATGAGAGTGGCAATATCATTTCATGTAGAGATAAAGAGACCCAAAACATGAATGGGTGTCAAGTCATCTGAAGAAAAGAAAAAAGAGAAGGAACTTCATTCACTGAGATGGTTTATAAGTTGGGGATTATGGGAATATTCATGACTCAATCAAGAAGCACAATGAATTGATGTTTGAAATAGCTCATCTTTTAAGTAAACATTGGATAAATGGAAAGTAGACCCAGTATTCACTGCATGTAGAAATAGCTATTTCTGTATAACAGAAATAGCAGTTTGTTAATCCCTTCCTGAGTTGGTTTAACTTACCAAGTAAATCACAAATTTTATTCTTTATTTATGAATATTTAATTCAAATATTTAATGGAAATGAGAGTTTGCCTTATAATTAGTCAATGCTGATCCATACACATATGTCTGAGAGAAAGTAATTTCTATTTTTTTTTCTTTTTTTTTTTTTTTTTTTTTGAGACGGAGTTTCGCTCCTGTTACCCAGGCTGGAGTGCAATGGCGCGATCTCAGCTCACCGCAGCCTCCGCCTGCTGGGTTCAGGCAATTCTCCTGCCTCAACCTCCTGAGTAGCCGGGATTACAGGCACGCACCACCATGCCCAGCTGATTTTTCGTATTTTTAGTAGAGACGGGGTTTCACCATGTTGACCAGGATGGTCTCGATCTCTTGACCTCGTGATCCACCCGCCTCGGCCTCCCAAAGTGCTGGGATTACAGGCTTGAGCCACCGCGCCCGGCAAAAGTAATTTCTAATGATGAAATAGTTACAATAATATTTTTTGAAATTTTAAAGCACTGTAATACCAAAGCATTAATTTGAAGGATCAGAAAGTAGGAAGTTTTTGTTGCTAACACTCAACTTCATTGTTTATGGATAACTTGGGTTTTCTCTGCAGCCAGATGGCATAGTTAGTATACAGACATTCTTGGAAACTTATATCAAAATTTAAGATGAATGAATTTATGAGAAATAATTCTGCTTATTTTTAATGTAGCTTTCTAGAAAAGCATGAAATCAGAATGTAGTTTCTAAAGCTGCAAGTGAATATATATATACATAGTCAGCATCTTTCAGCCTTGATAAGAAGATGCAATCATTAAGCTGAAGGGATTTTTTTTCCCACTTGTGGTGCTGGACCTGAGTATGCTGTTCGGTGTTGCTTGTCTGGTTCAAGTGTGACCCACCAGCTTTCCTTGACCTTCATTATCTATGTGAATTTTGCCTCCTTTTCCCAGCTTGCTCTTGCTCTTCTGATCCTGTCTTCAACCCTCTTGATCTCCAGTGTAATATTCTTGAAGCCACCTGTTATTTTTTCTCTTTGAAAACCACAGCCCTTATTTTCTGTGCCATATTTCAGGGAACTTCATTCATTTATCATGTATTGACCATACACAGTGATCCAGGCATTATTCCAGACACTGAAGATGCCGAGCTTTTTTTTTGTCCCATTTTGTCCTCTTGTATTTTTCTCCAAGGCTTTCCCCAAATGTGTATTTATTTAGTCTCCTCAAGAAGGCATAATCTTCATCAGAATGTGATAGCATATTATGTACTGTTTGGTCATCCTTAGGCATAGGAATACTTAGGAGGTGTCAGTAACTATTTTGTTCCTCTTTACTGAAATGCATCTTATTTTAAGGCAAAGGTAATACTTTAGAAAAGACCAAATAGACTTAAAATAACAGCATTTGCTTTGTCACTTTGAGCTTTACTTTATTATGAGTTAACGTACGGTAGCAGACTGGGTATAGTAGCTCACACCGTGTAATTCCAGCAGTATGTGAAGCTGACTGCGGAGGACTGCTTGAGGCCAAGACTTCGAGACTAGCCTGGGCAACATAGTGAGATGCCATCTCGACAAAATTTTTTTTTTTTAATTAGCCAGGTGTGGTGCTGCATGCCTGTGGTCCCAGCTACTTGGGAGGCTAAGGTGGGAGAATCACTTGAGCCCAGGAGGTCGAGGCTGTAGTGAGGCGTGTTTGCATCACGGCACTCCTGGGTGACAGTACAAGACTCTGTCAAACAAACAAACATAGTAGGAGATGTAGTGTGTGTTTCTTAGAGCAGTGTAGACAAAGCTAACTCTCCAGGCTTTAATGTCCCCATATTTAGCAATGATACCTGCAGGGTTGTATGAGAACCAAATGAAACACCAAATTTGGAAATGCATAGTAGATACATCATAGAATGAGAGAGTAAGCCAGGAATGCTTCCCAGAGGTAGGATATCACCTGCATTCTCATATCACTTTATCAAGTGCATTGCGACAGTGAAAGAACAGAGAAATGAATGTTTTTGTAGATAATGTTTAAAGGATACATTTATCATAATTGCTCTTTTAACACTCACCTCCAGTCTCCCCTCCCTTCACACCTCCTGCCCCATTACTTCCTGTTAACCTAATTAAGTGCCTTTTGTCATTCCTGAGGTTTCAAGGCATGGTAGTACTGTCTCCTGATATTCTAATTGTAAATATTTAAGGGAAATTTGGCATTTTTTCGTTTAGTGGTTTTCGTGTTATATTAAATAGTCTTTTTGCTTTTATTTAGGAAAAAAGCTGTTTACCTCTCAATTTTAGAAGAATTTGATTTTCATTTAGGGCTTACAGAGTGAGACACCTGCATCAGAGTGGCTCTTGGTATCTTTCAATTCAGTTGGATCTTGCTCTGAAATAGTCTCTTGTAGGGAGTGAGGCTGCTACACCGAATGCCTGCAGTAGTCCGTCCAGTTTAGGATGGAGGTCACGGATAGGGCAAAAGGATGGGTAGATCTGGCTTGCGGCTGCCCTATTGTACTCAAATTGTGTATCAAATAGAGTTGGATTTCTTCTCTTCATACAGTATAGCATTCCCAAGTAGAAATATTTCTTAATGAAATGTGGAGAGAAGCACCTGTTTGAGATTTCCATGTATTGCCTGATTTAAGTTAGATGATTTTTTTTTTTTGAAGACCACATTTATTTCCAGAATCGTAGGTAACAATTTAGAAAATGTCTTTCTCCTAACTTCCCCACTTTTTAAAACTCCTTCAACTGATGAACTGATGTGAAACTTTCTTACATTCGCTGGAAAAAAAAAATTGGTTAAGCTGTTTCTAAGCAACTAGATGAATTAATTTTAAAACTAAGAATCTGGTCTTATTTGGGGAAGGAAAAAATGTTTACTGATTTGTCTGCTGTTTAAAAAATGGAAGTGAGCCTACCAAAAAATTGAGACTAAAAATCTAAGAGATGGATTCAAGTTTTTTTTTTTTAGTTTCTCTAGTTTATATATAAGGGGGTAATGCTGCCTTCATAATAATTATTATCATATTTTCTGAATAGATAGTTTGATTAAAACAATTGGACTTCCCACACATACAAATTTTATATTAGTCTGAATCTAATACCTAGAATTAGAAGTGCTTCAGCCAGGCATAGTGGCGTTTGCCTGTAGTCTCAGCTACTCAGGATGCTGAGGCAGCAGGATCAGTTGAGCCCAGGAGTCTGAATCTAGCCTGGCCAACACAGTGAAACCTAGAAGTGTTAAATTACTGGAAAAATAATATGAAAGAATGAACTATTGGAAAAAGAATATGAAAACGTTATGTTCTTTATATGCAACCACTGTTGGCTTTGTTGAGCTCTTGCAATGCTAATAAGAATTCATAAAAAGGACAATTCTTCATTTTCTTGGGTACTCATCACGAATGCTGCCTCACTGATAAAAAGGAATACTTATATCTTCAATTGTAGATTATTTACTTTTGAATATAAAAGATATAAATGTCAAATATTAAATGCATCTTACATAGTTTTCCTATATAGAGAAAGTAGAATGATTACCAGTTTTGCCTGGGTCACTGAATTTGAACCAGCCAACACACCTTAATTGGTAATTTCCACTAATATGTTAAATTACATGAAAAGGACAAAAATATTTATCATGCTTACTTTAACCTATGTTTTAAAATAGGAGACCACACACAATGGCTCACACCTGTAATGCCAGGACTTTGGGAGGCCAAGGCAGGAGGATCACTTGGTCCCAGGAATTCAGGACCAGCCTGAACAACAATGAGACCCCTGTCTCTACGAAAAAAAATAAAAATAAAAAATTAGCCAGGTGTGGTGGCACGTGCCTATGGTCTCAGTTATATGGGAGGCCAAAGCGGGAAGATCACTTGAGCCCAGGAGGTTGAGGCTGCCGTAAGCCCTGTTCGCACCACTGCACTCCAACCTGGGCCGCAGAGCAAGAACCCCATCTCAAAATATAAAATAAAATAGGAGATGTGTGACTACGTTGGCAATGAAGTAGTATAGATAATGACTTTTCTACTTTTCATAGGGTATTGGCATGTACTGTGAATAGTTCATGCTTATGGAGGAAATCTCATTTTAGACAGATTATATATTTCATTTAGAAGTCTATAAACATGTAAACCTAAAATAAATAATGTAAATTTACCTCTAGTGGCTCTGGTGTTTTTAAACTTTTCTTATTTATAGCTGGCAAAGTACTTTTTTCTGTGTGTTTTTATAGAATCATTGTGCTTCTCATGTTTGTTGCAAGCATCTCCCACAGTTTCCTTTGTCTTTTAATTTTATAACATATAAGTGAAAGTATACATTTCAATATGGCCATATTGATTGATCTTTTCCTTTGTAATTCTTATTACTTTATACTTAAAAAGTCATTTCCCAGTCTAAGGCTCCCTATATTATCTTTTAGTTTTTTTAAATGGCTTCATTGTTTTATATTTTCCTGTGTTTCAGACATTGCTAACTGTGGGTTCTTGATTGGGCTTTAGAAAATCTGAGAATTCCTTAAAAGTATGTACATAATTGTACATGTACTTAATACATGTTTTTTCCATGTTAAGAGTCCACAGCTTTTTATTAGATTCTCAAAGGGGTCCATCAGTCTTTCTTCCCAATTCCAAAAAATGTCTGAGAGCTATTGCTATAATGCATCTGGACTTGATTTGGATAAAAGGTAATATGGTGAGACTCATGTTTTTTCCCTTTCCCCAGATAGTTAAGTATACCAACCATTTGGTAAATAATTATCTCCTGATTTGTGATACCTTTGAAAAATAAATTTGTTTTTCTTTATTTTTATCTCCACAGAGAAAGTTAGAGAAATTCAAGAAAAACTTGATGCTTTCATTGAAGCTCTTCATCAGGAGAAATAAATTAAGTGAGTAAAAATTCTATAACTGTATCAGTGTTGACTAAATACAAAATTACACTTTCCTTAATAGTTTATCATTCTGTTTCACTTACATCCCACTTGTTACTTATGCTGTAATTTCATTGGCATGAATTTAGCTGAAACTAGCTCCCGAATTTCACTTCTGTAATGTTCCTTTGAATAACTTGATTGCCTTCTGGTGGAACTAAAAGTATCCTCTAGAACTCATTTCAGATAGAACAAAGGTGAACAGATAGCTAAGATATTGTGTAATATGCAAGTGACTCATATTTTCTGCATGTAAGGAATTGAACTGTAGTTGACATTGTTTTATTCCTCATTGCCTATAGTCTTATCAATAATTATGTGTATGTTGAGTATTTAACTTGCAAAATTTTTATTTGACTTAATTAAAATTTTAATGATTGTTCTTAATCCATATCTCTAAATTTGTTTAAAAACATTTACATAAGCCTTTTTCCTGCTTAATTTATATAGCCTTAGAATTCAGTACTCCTCTTAATGCATTTACTTTTTTTGACTGATTCTGTTTTCTAGCATTAGAAGCATGTTCCTAATAAAATACATATTTTAAAGCCTTTTCTTTAGTAGTATAATCAATTCACTGTTGCTGAAGAATTGTAATAAGTCAGTTGCCTTTTTTTTTTTTTTTTTTTTTTTTTTTTTTTGAGATGAGCTCTCGCTCTGACACCCAGGCTGGAGTGCAGTGGTGCAATCACAGTTCACTGCAGCCTCAACTTCCTGGGCTCAAGCAGTCCTCCACATCAGCCTTTAAGGAACTGGGGCCACAGGCTCATGCCACCATGCCCAGCTAATTTCTTTAATTTGTTGTAAAGACGGGATTTCACCCTGTTGATAAGGCTGGTATTTGCTTTGATAAAAAAAAAAAAAAAGTCGAGAAAAGAAAACTGCTGTAGTTAAGTCATTATCACTTCAAATATTTTGTCACTTTTGTCTATGAGCCTTACCCTACAGACAGCCTGCAGCAGGGTCAGAACTAGAAGGAGTAGAAATGTCAAAGGTTCTTTCCCTAGCTACACTCAGTTCAGTTCAGAAAAGGCTCTTAAACCAAACTACTTACTTTCCTCTAGTGTCAGGAAAATGTGTTTGAGAAAGCAAGGTGGAAAGAGAAGCACAGCTTATGTGGTGCATCAGTCAGAACAGTATGACAGCAATGAAGGAGAGAAACAAGACTTAGAAAACTTGAAAGTTTTGTTACTTTGTTTCATTTGTTTCTTTAATAAGTTAAGACAGGCCAGTGCAGCTACTCATGCCTGTAATCCTAGCACTTAGGGAAGCCTAGGTGGGCAGATCACTTGAGGTCAAGAGTTGGAGACCAGCCTGACCAACATGATGAAATCCCATCTCTACTAATTAAAAAAATTACCTAGGCGGGGTGGTGGGCACCTGCAATCCCAGCTACCTGGGAGCCTGAGGCAGGAGAATCACTTGAACCAGAAGGCAGAGGTTGCAGTGAACTGAGATCATGCCACTGCACTCCAGCCTGGGTGACAGAGAGACTGTCTCAAAAAAAAAGTTAAGACAGATATATGGAAATATACAAAAAAAGATAATCATCTTTAACACAAGCCATAATTTTTGTGTTTTATAAGTGCCCATGTTCATAAATGTTTTCTATATCTTCTGTGTATGAATATTTTATTTTAAAACCATTAAGTGTCACGATATCATCCTAGTCATGATAGTTACCATGAATATTTAACTATTTGAGATAAACATTTTTAGTACCTTCTTGATCTCTCCTTTAGCACCAGAGCTTATATGATCATTTTGTTTACCGATCTGTATGTGCTTTGCGGGGGAAAAAAATCAATGAAAGCCACAAAAACCCCATTAAAAGCATGAGCTGTATTTCTGGTTGTTTTTTTTTTAAAAAAAACAAAATGAGGAAGCTGAAAACCAACCGGTGTTTCACATATTGGTGTCTCTCCTCTCAGCTGATCAGAGTTGCCATTGCTGCTGCTACCTGACTAGTCTCTAAGACCCTTTTCCACCCTTGTAACTTAAGACTCTGTGAACTTTTACAAAGTATCTGTGAACTGGACAGATGATCTGTTTTGTACGCTGCAGATTCATTTAAAAGAATTAATCTGGCAGAATGGTAACCTTGCTTCTTTCTGACCATTTTATAAAAGTTACCAAGGACCCTTTTCTTACCTAAGGGATACCTTCTCAATTATAGTTTTAACATGTATAGGATTCCTAAGTAACTTATTCTGATATTTGCTGAAGATGTTTATACTCTATACAGCCATACAGAGATTCATCCCCAATTAATTTTAGTATATGCTTTTAACTTTTTTCTACAGGAAATGAATTCTAGTATATTTTAATTTGTGTTTGATTAAAAAATCATTCTAATATTGTTATGGTAGGTGATAGACTAAGTTTAGTAAAATTAGCAAACAAGCAGTTAGGTGTCTTCATTTTTATGATCATGCAGTAATAAACTTAGTTTAGAAAATTTGCATTTGTCTCCCCACCTCAATTTGTCAAATGGGTTTATTTTTACAGAATCCTACTCAAAATAT